GCAGTTTACATCACATTATTTCAGACCTTTTAGTCAGAACTCAATCTGAAGAACAGTTGCTTTTACTGAAACAGCTCTCGTCGGACATCCCAACCGATACCAACACTAATAACTCGAGCATAGGATTGAATGATGAAAATTTGAGTTTAAGTCAAACAGAACTACTGGACAGCAGTGCAGCCAAACAAAAGGCAGGTCTGGCCAGTAAGGGGAGTCTCGCCAATCGACAGCCGCCTTCTATGCGTAGACACTCGAGCACTGGCTCTGTGAAGGTGTCGAGTGATTGTGATTCGCCGCGAAGACAAATCTCTTACACTAAATGCGAGACTGAGATTGTGGTGAAGAGCGACCCAACCAGTCCTATTCGAGAAACGCCAACCCATTCGGCCTCTAATCAGCTATATTTGCCAATCGCTGACAAAATTGATACTCAAAACAACCGGCGAGTGTCGAACACCTCTTCCAGTCCCTCGAGTTTCACGAGTTCGTCGCCAAATCACTCGCATCCCTATCCCACGCAGCGTTTGTCGGCTCCGGTGTCGCCCAATTCGGTGCACTCCTCCTCATCGTCGACATCACTCAACAGTCCCATCCATGCAGTCGACGACTACGAGAACAGCCCTAAAAACTATCGACGCAATCCTCACCCTATTTACGAGTGGAATGTCGATGAGGTGTCCCAATGGTTGGTCGCTCTTAATCTCAATTCTTATGTCAATAAATTCCAAGAAAACAAGATTTCGGGACCTTTTCTCTTACACTTAGACAGCACTCAACTGAAGGTTTGTCTCATTTAGATGAGGTGTCCCAATGGTTGGTCGCTCTTAATCTCAATTCTTATGTCAATAAATTCCAAGAAAACAAGATTTCGGGACCTTTTCTCTTACACTTAGACAGCACTCAACTGAAGGTTTGTCTCATTTGATACATAAAAACATTGAGAGAAACTAAAATGAATTGTATTTATTGTGTAGAGTTTGGGCGTCTCTAACAGCACTGATCGCTCATTGCTTAAGAAGAAGATCAAGGAATTCAAAGCGGAGGTGGAAAGGGAGCGAAAAGCATTAGAAAAGGAACAGAAAGTGAGGGAAAGGCTTATGAAAAAAGAGGACAAATTTCGGAAGAAGTAGTAAACCGATGACAGCTTCATATGAAAGCGGATCTAATTTAAAGTGTGTTTGTGATGAGTAGTAAAGGTTTAGTTGAATTGTGTGTATAATAACTATAAATAATTTAATATAATCGAAAAGTATTGAAACCGATTGGAGCTCACTCTCAGTGCTATTGATGTGCTTTTCCATCAGTTAATGCATTTTATTTATTAGTAATTTATTGATAAATCAATTCATGTCTATTCGATAGCATAATATAATTAAGAATTTATGCTAAATATTGAGTCATTGAATTAATTGTCTGGAGATGTTATTTATGAACCATTATGTACTGACTCATCAGTAATGAGTTTTAAATTACTTTTAATAATTTTATACATATTTCGTAAAATTCTTACATTTTTATATACATCTTATAACAAATTTTTATGATAATTGACGTATTTTTCTTCAATTTTTTATACAACTCTTAAACTTCGAGTTTATTTAATATTTGC